CCAACCCTCACACTCCGTCCTGATAAGCATTATTCACTACAGTATCACGAGTTACCCATCTATATTTCTTTTCATCAGCTCCGCCCAGAAAGATTAAATTATACCCAGTGGAGAGTCTGCCTTCTTCCATGCTCCCTAGCACTAGGTTCCCTTTTGAAAGCTTATAAGTCAGTCACATTCCATTTCATTTCTGACAATTTCCAATTCTCCTGGATTCATACTTTGTACATTCCATGTTCTGATTATTAAATGGATGTTTACAATGTTTCTCTTCATTTTGAGTTGTGTCCCATCAATAAATGAAGGTCCTGAAGGCTTGACTCCATTCGTGTCATCAGAGTCAACTGTACTTTGAGGAGGCAGCTCTTACCCAATCCTATTATGACTGCCTTCCAGACTGTATACATAACCCAAAGCATAGAAAAAACCCTGGTAATTAGTTATAAATTGAACTGTTACTATAATATTTGAGTAGTTAGTTCATTCATAAAAAGATTAGAAGTTTGTGTAGAGTAAATTATCCAATAACTTACTTTTCTTTCTTTGGTTTGGTATTAATATCTCCTAGGACCATGATGTCAGAGAAATCTATGCGGAACTTGCTAAGTAAAGTAGCCATCCTGCAATAAAAATGAGTAGTAGTATTGAATATAAGAAAGATGCATGTAAGTATTTATTCTATGTAGGGCTATGTAGTACTGCAGTCTACCAGTACTAAAGTAATTCATCTATATTAAGTACGTTCAGCAAGTAGACTTTTAGTAAGAGTAGGGGCTTCCATTATATTCTTTTACTTTCTTTGAATCTCTCTAAATAGAGGATAATGAATGGATGGAGCAACGCATTAATAATGAACTCTGAATGGAAAGTAGTTTTTTTTCAAAGTTAATTTTACTCAAATTATATTGATAAGCATAAAAATTTCAGTAAAAACTAGTAAATGGTTATTTAATTAATTTTGGGTTATTCTTCTATCAAAGAACAATGCATATGTTAAAGCCTAAGTATGATTTCTGGTTTGGATCTAAATTGAAGTTGGTTTATTCAGGTTCACTCTGTGTGTGTGTGTGTGTGTGTGTGTATGAAACCAGGATAAAAGTACTGATTTTCAATAAATATGTTTTGTTATTAAACAGCCCAAACTGTCCTGACAATACCTAAGAGCAAATACGTTTTTAAAGGCATAATTGGCGATGAAATATTAACAGCAACAGTAGAATTGAAACATACGTAAGGAAAGCAATTGTCAACACAGGATTTTATTTTTAATAAGAAGATAGTTTCCAAACTGCAGATTTTAGGTATAGGAAAATTGATAAATTCAGCTTTTTAAAGTTCATTATTTGTATTTCATGCATAATTCCCTATTTGAAATTAATACACATCTAGCTAAACCTGGTGTTTACTACATGCATAGCAAACATGCTAAACATTACAGAGCTCACCGAAGTGAAATTTAAGAAAAACAAAATTAATGAGTAGTATCAAGTGTACTGTGAGTCAGAGAGGAAACTAGTAGAGGGTCTGGGGAGAAAATCATTAGGGAAGGCTTTATGAACAATGTGGCTACTAAGCTGGACTTTAAAGAGGTAAGTATAGTGAATGCCTGAAGGTACAGGAAATCATGATGGAAAGGGACTAGGCATGGAGAAGAAACTGTGAGGGCCTTCAATGTCACATCACAGCAATTAAGCTATCTATAGGAAATAATGAAGAATTAATAGTCAAAGTATTTTGGGCAAAAGAATCATAGGATTTACTTTCCACACAGGAAGCTTGAAGCTATGTGTACAATATTCTAGAAAGGTGACAGATAAGATATAAGAGTGTTGAAAGTACAGGAGAGAAGAACTGAAACGAGAACTAGGATCTTGGTAGTATGGAGGAAAAAAAAAGATGGATTAACAACGGCATGCTGATTTCTGTTGTCTAGATGTCTACAAAATGTAGCCTATGTATCCACAAATAATCTGTGTGTACTTTTTCCTCTGATTCAAATTGAAAGCCTCTTGTAGCTTTATTTAATGAATGCTACAGTATTTAAGAAAGACCATGTATAAAGCCAAATCTTTTAAAGCTACATATTAATATTGAAACCAAATAGCTACAACGTACGTATGAAGACAAAATTAAAGAGAATAGTGTTACTTGTTTAGCTGGAATTTTGTGCTTAAGAAAAGAGTAATATGACATTTTCTAGATTATCTAATTTCTATTTGGTGAAATCTATATTGTAGTAATGAAGTATTTATTACTAGATAAGATAACTTTAAGATAAACTTACGCTCTCCGGTCATGGTCTATTCTATTTATTTTTCCTCCAATGAATACTCTAATCTTACAGTCTTTCCATTTTTTCTTGGTAGTCAGAAGATAAGGTATCAGTAAAGTCAAGCCTGGATCATAGAAATAAAACAAATCATTTATTAAGTGCTAATGTCTCAATCAAGAGGCTTTATCCAGTAAAGGTTCTAAGAACATGTTAATCAGACTTCAATATAAGACAAAATTCTCGTGGTCCTTTAATAATTAGGTTTTAAAACTATAGTCATTAGCAAGGAGGGTGATCCAATGGAGTTCGGGCCCATGTAAGGAAAACAGTCAAGTGGAATAGTGGTCTGACATAGTTGGGAGAGTAGTTATATATAGGAGGATTGAGGTAATAAGCATATTCACTGAAGATCATGGGAACAGGTTTCTCACGGAAATGAGAAACTGCAAAAGAAGAAAGCTGGCCTGAATCCTGCAGTGTTGGAACAGAATTGGTTTCCAGTCTATATCTACAAACACACATACACACACATACAGCTTCTGTCCATGGAGAGGTCCTGAGACAAGTGACACCCCAGTAGTAATGCGTATGCCTAATGCCCCAGTCTTTCCTTCTGAATTGCACTGGATTCCTCTAGTGAAAGAAGCAAGGCTCCTTGTTTAGTTCCACAGTTGGAGTAGAGAAAGCACAACACTGAGCTTGGAACATCTTACTGTGCCAGAAAGTAAGAAAGTGTTTCTCTCAAGGAATGACTTGAGGCATGACAAACTGACCCAGAAGTCTGCTTATATTTATTTAAAAAAAAAAAAAAGGGGGGGGGGGGGGGGTCTTGCTGTCCAAAACAATTTGAACATCAAAACAAATGATGTGCGTAACAAATTATAACCCAACTGACTAAAACAGGATAACATGACTTCACATTGACAGAAATGAAGAAAAAGCTTTCCTTGCAGTAGAAATTAGTCAACTAACAAATGACGAAATGATGGGACAGGAAAAACTGTCACTAGGTAACAACAATAATAATGAATTCAGGTAAGAAACAGCAATGAATGCTAAAACAGTGGTAAAACATGTAGAAAGAAGGTATATTTACATAGTCTTAAAGTAATTCCCTCCTAAATACCTGTAATTATGAAGAGGGGAAGACTAACTTTACAGTGAAAACCACCTTAGTCAATGGTCAAAGTTAACTTCACCAGTTACAGGACCTGATAGAAGTAGTCAGAAGGACAGGGTATCACTACTGTATATTTCTGCTAAAAATGAATAACCTAAAATTAATTATAGTGAAACCTCAGACAGCACTCGGAATTGAGTGCTACAAAATGGCCTGTGATGTAAAGTTCATGAAGGTCAAGACAACACTAAGCAACTGTTCCAAACTGAAGGACACTGAAGAGACATTACAACCAAGCACAGAACTTGGCTCTAAAGTAAATCTTTTGCTTCTGGAACGCTGGCAAAACCTGAATGGGGTCTCTAGGTAAAGAGAACGTGAGTTCTCTTACTACTATTTTCACAAATAAATTTTTAACTATTAAAAAAGTGTATTAACCTTACCTCCATCATCAAAAAGCCACCAGACATCAATAGTGTTCTTTCCTTGTTTTTTCTGAAACTGTGTACTAGCTTCAAGCAGCTTTTGGTCAGCTACATTTAAAGGCACAATAGGGCCTTTGGATTCTAAAGGATAAAGCAAAAATGTAAGATGTAAGGGAGGTAAATATTAAAGCCTCCATTGCTGAATTCCTGTAGTATCCTAACTTTTGTATATTCAAGTATGTTTACCTTATACATAGTTATATCCACCATAAGCTGTCAATTGCCTATAATTTAAACAGACTTTCGAAATAGCTACTGATATGCAAATCTTTAAAATAGCTAAAGGTAATTTATCTTACCAATTTTTTATATTTTAAAGTATTCTAAGCAAACGGATATAAAAACCATTATCAATACACCAATCATAAATAATCAAGGTAACACTTGACTATTAGATTTTGGTTCTTGAAAAGTTGTTTCAAGTTAATTGGATGAGGCTATTATATGTGGTCTATGAACCTATTTCTTTCATAATAAGTCTTCCCAATAATATAAAGGTCAGAAATATTTTTAGATAAAAAGTTATCTGTAGCATAAATGACAGAAGGATGATGAAGGTTTACCAACACTCTCTTGTTGATACCGCAATGGAAACTTGTTGTCTAAAGAAAATCTCCTTCATTTTTCCCTAACAGCTGTCCCTTCAACCACCTCCTCTTTCTTTGAACCACAGAAAGACAGTGGGCACTGCTTGGAAGGGTACTCTTCTGCTGCAGATCTAAAGGACAGTACACCAAAGAACTTCCCATTTATCCCAGGAATTAAAAAGAAAAAGACGCACACAAAAAAACATTGGCTCTGTGAGAAAGCAAATGACTATTACGAAAACTCCTACACCAATGCAGAAATGCACAGAGGAAATCTGGCTACTTCTGCAGAATAGCTATCATTCACTTTTCATGCTGCCATGACGTATGCAAACATGACGAATGATTTTGCATGATGAAATAATATGGCTACCAAACCACACTGCTCCATAACTCTCACCTCTATCTCCTTTTCATAAAATTCATGTACGCTGACATGACTGTGTATCTCCCAAACGCAGCAGGACTGTGAGAAATATTATAATTTTTGAAATGAAAATATATTAGTATCAAAATTAAGGACTTGATTGGGTACAACTGATGGTAAAGAATGTAAGTGACACTTTAAGTCGACCTACTTCAGTGCCTCTTCTTATTTAAACCACACAGTTTAAATTTTTTAAAAAAAGAAAAAATTATTATTGACTTTCAGGGTATGGATATTTAAGAAATGTCATGATTCACAAAAAAAAAAAAAAAAAAAGTGATATACCACCTATCCTAGGCAAATTTGCTTTTTTAGTTGAACTAATATTTATTTTTCTAATCTGCATTTAATAAATAACTGTAACATCACCTCACCATGGAAATCAAAATTAAGGTTTAAAAAAATAATAATAAGGTTGGAGTTAAAGAGTTAACAGTATGAAAAGGGGATTAAAATAAAATGATGAAAAATGCCTGCCTTTTTTCAACAGTGGTTGAGTTGGAGTCTTGCCATCCTCTTCCTCATCTAGATTATGTTTAAAAAACACAAAATATAGGTTAATTGCTTTTATATTAAGAAAATAATGAAAATGCAAATAGAGACACTTATAAACAAACATAGTATGAAGCAACAGTCCATGAAAAATAATCAAGACTGAAGATTAGTATCTGCTACACTGATTTTCAGGATTTTAAAAGCAAATATATGTTAGACCCCTCCTACAGGGCTAAAGATTAACACTCACCCCTAATTTTAAACCTGTAAAAGTGTCATGAAAGTAGAGTTTTTAAAACTCATAATTGGAAAAATGATGAACTATCACTTCTGGGATATAAATATGACATTAAAAATAGACAATGCAGATAATATATATAGATTTGAAACATGCCATTGCATCACTGTGCAAATGATTGAAAACTAATTTTGGAAACACTTGTGAATATTTGGTTATTTGTAAAAACTAATCATCACTTCAAATATTACAAAATCTGATCAAAAACAGAAATCTTTTGATTTATGTAACAGGCTACATAGCAGAGACTTTTTATAAATTTATGTGTGGATGCATGCATGTATGCCCATATTCATTATATTTATACATATAGTTATCTTTCTGGGGTTAATAAACCAAAATTCAAATCCACTGCTGTCAAGTTGATTCATCTCCTAGTGACACTAAGGACAGAGTGAACCCCCCCTGTATGCTTTGCAAGGCTGTAAATCTTTACAGTAAGCTTCTTCTAGTATATTTCATTTCTTTGTTTACGGTATATAATAATACTCCTGAGCTGGACCACAAAGGATGTATTACAGCTCTGCTCTAGAGTTAGAGTCCCAGGATTCCAAAATTACCTCCACCCCTGTTTGCTAACTCTGTAAGCTTGAGAGAGACATTTAACTCCTCACTCTTCTCCTTTATAAAAAGGTTAACAGCAACTACCTCTTAAGGTTTTTATATGGGGAGTATAAATTCTCTTAATTCAGTGCCTGGCACAAACTAAGGTGCTCTTTTTGTCTTCTTGCACATTGTATGCTTCAATATAACCAAGATGACACAGGCACATACTCATGTGTAAAAAGCTACAGTCAACCGTCCCTAAAGATGTTTTAAATTATTTAAAAGTTTCCAGCTTCTATGATCATTTTGAAAATAATTGGCTAACTAGAAAATAAACACAAAATAAAGCTAATGTTACTAATTTCTTAAGCCTGTTATGGAATGAAAAGCATTTCATTCCATAATATTTAACACTACAAAATTACATTTCAATTTTCACAGTGTTAAATATTGTTTTATAAAGGATCTACCTTTGATGATAATAAAAGCAGTTATAAATATGACTATGGCCATTCTGCATTCATTTAAAAGGCCTCAGAAATGCCAAGGAAATCTTGACATTTAAAAATAATTTTAAACTGAGGTGAAGGCATTCAGTTTTTACAATAAAATTTTGAAAATAATTTAATTGACTATATCAAAACAAATGACATGAGATTGTGACACATATTCATGAGCTACTGTACAGAAAAATACCTACTATAATGTAGGTGCACAGAGCAACTCAATAAATAAAATATTTCTTGCCCTCCTACCATGACATTGTCTATTATCTCCTAAAAGACTGGAGAGAAAGGGTCGGTTTTAAACAAGAGAAAAGAACTACCAAACAACAAAATTTAAGAGAAAATGAAAGAATGTACACATTAACTAAAAATAAACACAGAAACATAAGAGCAGTTATCAGAATCAGTTAATAGAAAAAAGAAATAATCAATCAAGCCAGCAAAAGAACTGAAAGGAAAAAATGGACCTCAACTCAACTTTCTAAAACTACGCCTCTAAGAAGACAAGAAATAAGGAAAGAAATAAAAGCAGCAGTAACATTTGTAAGTAACACAGAAGAGATCCATTTCAGAGACATGATTTATCTAAGGATAATGATTTCAGTAAAAGAATGGTAATTATTTTTATAGGAATCAAAAATATATGTATGGTTTGATGATTTACAGTGCAGATTTTTTTCTTGTGTGTTAGCTGGGAATAAGACAGATGGAGATACTAGACTGAACAGAGGTAGGAGAGTGAGGGTAGGAGAGTAAGATTTGGAAGTCATGCCTCTTTCCTTTTCATAAACATGTCACACACCTTTGTACATAAAAGCATCTATATGTCACTTGAGACTGTAGAATCTTTGTCGCCTATACCATCACATAACCATCAGGGGTAATAAATATGTCTATAAATTAAGGTGGAATACCTCAGTTTCAACTGCTACTTTCTTCAGACAGGACTCAACTGAGGTATAAATTTTCACTTGATTATTTTATTACATTGTTTTTTATGAACATCTGCAGAAGCTGTTGTTGTGAAAAGCCGTTGAGTCTTAGTGACCCTGTATACGGTTTCCAAAGCTTTAAATCTCTGAGTAAGCAGAAAGCTTCTTCTTTCTTTTGCGGATTGGCTGGTGGGCACAAACCACAACTGCAACCTTGTGGTTCACAGTCCAGTGCACTATCGCATGGAACCACCACATTCCCTATCTACACAGGTAGTAGATACAAAAATATTTCTAACATCAACACATACACAAAACACCTGATATTTAAATATCTGGATTTCTGACGAAAAAAATGTAAATTAGTTTTTAAATGCTATTCCCTTAACATTACCATATGCTACACACGTGTATAATTTATCATGTTTCTTTCTCTAGTTAAAATTTAACCTATACTTTAAATTTAAATATTTACAAGGCATAGAAATAAAAACACACAATAGCAAATCTGCAAATAATTAGTTGGCATGGTTTCTGTTCAAAGACCTAATTTTAGTGCTTGAAATCACTTAGTCACTTTGAAACCATTTTTTGAAAAGCATGAATTTTACCTGAGCAACTAGAAATGAACAGTGCAAGTTTGAGATTAGTTTATTGTATGAGACATGTTATGTAGTAACAGTCATTTCCTAAAAAAATAAAACATTATTATTAATAAAACTTATTGCAATGAAAAATTACCTTTATGTTTAACAGTTTTTTCATCAGATTGTTTGGAAGTATCTAAATCTGATGTTTTACTATATTCCATACTTAGTACCACATCCTTGGCACCAGGAGATTTCTCTTGAGATGACAATAATTCTTCTGCAGACACAAAAGCATTTAAAATATTTTATTCATATTTTAACTGCTAAAAAAGCATCATTATTTAATCACAGTTGACATTTAAAAATAAGCTATAATGTAAGATAATCAAATTTACTGTAAATTATTTTTTATGTAAACAATGTCATGTTTTGAAATTAGTCACTTAAATATCTGAGTGACAACTAAGTACCACACATTTGAATTAGGCACTAAGGAATCAGTAATGAGCGAGCAAAAGAAAGATTTATAAAAGGTACATGGATTCTATTCTCAATACAATTTACAAATACAAAAAGTATATAGAATATGACTATTGTTCATATGCATGCTTCAAGGTTAACAGTTAACACAATATTAACAGAAATATTACACTCCTGACTACAGAACGAAGACCACAGTACTTTCCTAATGAATTCCGGGTGAAAATATCATTGCTTCTTTTTTAAAGCAGCGTCTTTCATTCTTTGTCTTTTTGGCAAAAAGTTTAGTTTACACTTAACTTCCATAATTAAAGACATTTATCCTAAGTAGAAATAGATAATCTGTCCATATCCTCATTTATTTACATTAATGAGGAAAACAGCAGTAGAAACTAAGTGAGCTTAGGTGCCATCACTATGTTAAGGGCTTCACAGCCTTCCTTATCTCCTCAATCTTCACAGCAACTCTGGGAAGGAATTATGTCTTAACAGATGAAAGAAACAGATGCTCAGAAGTCAGCAGCTTCTCACAATCTATAAAATGATTCAATGGAAAAGCTAAAACTTTCAACCCGTATCTATCTGTCTGACTCCAAAGTTGGTGCTTTTAATCCAGTACTAAACTGAATTCTTGTCTCCAAGTCTTACTAGTGATAAATACATCCTTTCCAAAATGTTACATAATAATTTTATATGCTTGAAAATATATATATTTTTAAGTTTCAATCAAAATGTTATCTATTACATGATTGTACTTATCTAAACATGAAATATAAAATAATTTGGTAATTTAAAATTTTTTCCTCAGATTTTATGTAACAAGTTTGTTTTTAAAAAAATAAATTTGGAGGTTTCCGGAAAAAGATGGCAGATCGGGTGGAAGTGTAGTGATGAGCTCTGCTGAGAACAACACAGAATACAGGACAAAGTAGGCTCAGGGAACGGTCCCAGTACTCTGAACCACATACAAAGGAATATTTAGATGGTTGGAAGACCTACAGCTGGGAACTTTGTGGCAGAAGCAAGAAATCCATTGCTTCCTGGTTCGGAACGCTCAGCTGCTCTAGGAACCACCATTTTGTGTGGGGCCAAGCGGGGAAAGGATCAGAGCAGCCACGGACGCCTGACAGCCACAGAGATAGAGATGTGGACATTCGTTTTTTCTTTTTTGGTATCTTTTCGTTGGTCCCTTGCTGTCTGCGTACCTCCATTCTGGTAACTATAGGGGTGCCTGAGCTAGTAGATACTCCAGCCCCACCCTCAGAGGGTTCTATTATGCATGTGCATAGATATCCTCGAAATTTAAAGAGAAAGTACCCATTTAAAACCAAACAGCCGACAGATACTCAGCCCAAGAACAGGCCTTGAACTTTTCTTGTTTGCTTTTTGTTCTGTTTTTTAACACGGAAAAGAGAAGGAAGAGGGCTGTAGGGAGGGAAAGAGAGCTCATATCAGGGTACAGATTATTTTTTTTTTTTAATTTGAAAAAAAAATTTTTTTTTCTTTTATTTATTTTTCTTCCTTCTTCTTCTTCTCTCCCTCCTCTCTCTTTTCTGTGAATAGAGACTGCAGTATCAGTCTTGGTTTTGTTGTTGCTGTTTTTTAGTCTTTTGTTTTTTTTTGCTGGTATTGTTTTGCTGTTATATGCTCCCCCTTCTGCCTTTGGAGGACTCTTTGTCTCCCTATATTACACAAGAAGAGTCAGCAACTGCTGCCATATAGCCAACCTACAATCACAGCCTATAAAATACCAAAACCCAGGCAAGAACCAATACCAACCGCCATATAGCAGGGAAACAGACAACACCTATGAAAGTTACTCTGAGTTAAAAAATAAGAAGAGTGAAAAGGGAAGCCCACATCCTGATCACACCTTCCTGGAAGCAATCAGAAAGCATAAAAAATACCAAAACACATACTCAATTATGTATTAAGGCCACAGATAAAGATTCAACATGTCCAAGAAGCAAAAGCAGATGACCATATCAGCACATGTCCAGAAACAAGATAAAGTGTCTGAGACAAACGAACTAGAAGTAGACCTGGACTACATTATGGAAGGAGGGCAGGCCTTGGAAATGCCTGAGATGGAATTCAGAATAATGATCATAAAATGTTTCAAAGCACGTTACAATGGAGTTAAGAAACATAAGGAAGAAGCCAGGAAAGTGCAACAGGAACAATCAAATAAGATAGATACAGCATTGGAAACAATTCAAAACCTACAAAAAGAGGTCCAAACAATCAATAACAAAATAACAGAAATAGAGAACACTCTGAAAGGGCAGAGGAGTAGAATAGATGAGATGGAAGGTAGAACCAGTGAGGTGGAAGACAAATCTCTGACTACCACTAAGACAGAAGAACAAACACAAAAAAGGATAAAAAAGTTCTGAAGATGGTCTAAGATTCATGTTGGACAACATGAAGAGGATTAACTAAAGAATTATCAGCATTCCAGAACAAGAAGAATCACACAAGTCCACAGAGGAAATAGTTGAAGAACTGCTGGAAGAAAATTTCTCTAACATGCTGAAAAGTGAAAAGATAAACATCCAAGAAGCTCAATGAACCCCAGGAAGGATAGATCCCAAAAGAAAATCACCAAGACATATCATAGTCAAGCTCTCCAAAATCAAAGATAAGGAGACACTACTGAAAGCCTCCAGGGAAAACAGAAGTGTCACATACAAAGACAAGCAAGTCAGATTAAGGTCACATCTCTCAGCAGAAACCATACAAGCAAGAAGGCAATGGGTGAAAATTCATAAAACCCTGAAAGACAAAAATTGACAACCAAGAATTCTTTATCCAGCAAAGTTATCAATCAACTATGATGGTGTAATCAAAACATTCCAAGATAAACAGAAGCTAAGGGATTTTGCCAAAGTCAACCCTGTGATACAAAACAGCCTAAAGGAAGTTCTGTGGACTGAGACCCAACAAGAACAGACAACAACCAGAGATTGACATACGTGGCAGCATCCCCCAGAATTAAGTCAACAGAAGGAAGGGTTGAGAACAGAACAAAACTGTAAGAACAATCTCAGAGAATCTGGGAGATCAGTCTATGATCAAAACAAGTTCAATGTAAAAGAAGGTAAACACATAGGAACAGAGATCCAGATAGTGAGAAGGTCAGGTCAATTACAGGATAAAATAGACTGCAGTAAAGGAGAGAAAAATTAATGGACTATAAGGCAACCTCAATGAAACTTAACATGTTACAACATACCAAGAGAATGAAAATCCAAGAACATGGAAACATTAAAACTATGAGGAAACTCACAAGAAAACAAAGTCATTTACTCAACAAAGGAAGACATACAGAACACAGCAGCAGCAACACCACAAAAAAACAAAACAAAAACACATAATGGCAGCAATTAATCAATACCTATCAATAATTACACTGAATGTAAATGGATTAAATGCACCTGTTAAGAGACGGAGGGTGGCAGAATGGAAAAGAAAGCAAGATTCTTAAATATGCTGTCTGCAAGAGACACATCTCACACACAGAGACAAAAACAGATTAAAAGTCAAAGGATGGAAAAAAATATACCAAACCAATTGCAATAAAAAGCGAAGAGCAATGGCAGTACTAATAATCTGATAAAATAAACTTTAAGGCAAAAACCAGCATAATAGATAAAGATGGACATTATCTCATGATTAAAGGGACAATTGTACAAGATGAAATAACCATAATAAGTATCTATGCGCCCAATGAAAGAGCTCCAAAATGTATAAAGGAAACTCTAACAGATTTGAAGAAAGAAATAGATGAATCTACAATAATAGTGAGTGATTTTAATAAACCGCTTTCAAAAATGGATAGGAAAGAAACTTGACAAAGACACAGAAGAACTAAACAATACAATCAGCCACTGGACTGTGTACACAGCATTCAACCCAACAACAACACAACACACATTCTTTTCCAGTGCCCATGGAACATTCTCCAGAATAGATCATGTTTTAGGCCACAAAACAAATCTACATAAATTTACAAATATCAAAATACTACAAAGCATTTTCTCAGACCACAATGCTATCAAATTAGAAATCAACAATAGGAAGACCAAGGAAACCAAGTCAAATACATGGAAACTGAATAACACCCTGCTGAATGTGACTGTGTAGTAGAAGAAATTACACGCAAATTCACAAAGTTCCTAGAAATAAATGAGAACGAAAACACAACATACCAAAATCTCTGGGACACGGCGAAAGCGGTGCTGACAGGACAATTTATTGCAATAAACGCACACATCAAAAAAGAAGAAAGAACCAAAATTAACACATTAAGACAGCATCTACAAAAATTAGAAACAGACCAACAGAGGAAATCCACAGCTACCAAAAGAAAAGAAATAATAAAGATTAGAGCAGAAATAAATGACATAGAAAACAGAAAAACTATAGAAACAATCAACAGGACAAGAAGCTGGTTCTTTGAAAGAA